CCAAAGAGCTTGCCAGGCTGGGGAACGTTCTGACCTTCTTCCTTGGAATGATAACTTTTTGCCTTTGTCAGTACATCTCTGGGATCTTCTCCACTACATAAACAACGGTCCTTCTCTCTTGTCATGTAGTCGCCCTGGGCGGGTCTCAGTGCCTGGGTGCCCCCTGCACTGGTGCGCTGTGGTAGGTGCTGTGGATGGACCGGATGTTCCTTGGGGGACACTGGGCTGGATGGGGAGGCAAAAGGTGGGAGGGGAAGAGTCTGTCATCATGCTGAGCAAGAGGTGACCATGCCTGACAGATCGGGGACAAAGGAGAGGCTGTGATCAGGGAGAAGGGAGCGTTAGGGCTTATTCTAAGCTCCTGTTCCTGTGTAACCAACTATCTCCAACTTAGTGGCTTGACACAGTGACCATTCTTACTTACTGCACCATTCTGTGGGTCAGGAATTCGGGCAGTGCTCAGCTGGGTGGTTTTTCTGCCCCATGTGGTATCGTGGTCACTTGGTAATAGTCACCTGCGGGAGAGGCCAGTCCAGAAGGTTCAACACTGCTTTGTTCGCGTGACTGGTGCCTTAGTGGGGTGATTGGAAGGCTGGGCTCAGCTGAGCCTGCCGACTGGAGCACCTACGTGTGGCCCCCCCCCAACACAGTGGTCCCAGGTCTCTTCTGTGGCAGCTCAAGGCTCACAGAAGACCCAGGCAGAAACTTGTAAGGCTCTTTCAGATTTGGCTCAGAAAGTCTCAGAACGTCACCTTCTCCACATCTTGTTGGTAAGCGAGTCCCTAAGGCCAGCCCAAGTGTAGTCTAACTCCCCTCTCCCTGGGGGAAGTCCTTGGCATCTGTGGTCCTCTCTGGTCTGTCACACTGATTCGAGAGCCAGTGGGAAACTTTCAGGGTGGGGTGGAGGTCGGACATGGTGGTGGCAGGACCCATGACCAAATGTACTTTTTGATTTGGGGCAAAGATCAAACATAGTGAATTGAAGAGGCCAGGAGTGTTGGAAGCAGGACAGTGGGTGAGGAGCACTCTGCTGAGACTCTCAGCTGTGAGGAGAACATGGAAAGGGAGGGGAGGCTCAGAGTGAGACCCAGGGTCAGGAGCTGGCTTGTGTTTACTTGTTGGAGATGGATAAGGTCCCCAGTGACCCAGTCTTTTCCAGATCATGGTAGCACATTTTTGTTCTATGAACTGGCCTTTTAACTGCTTGAACACTGTTAATTCTGTCTTCAGTGCTACAGCTTTCTCCTGTTCCTGGCCCTTCTGCCTGTGACTAAGAAGGGGTGAGAAGGGGCTATTTCTTTAAATGGTTGCATTTTCTAGGGTCTCTCCTTGCCTTCTGGTCCTTGACTTCTTTATTCTGTACTTTTTCGGGCGTATCTCATTTACACTCGTGATTTCAGCTGCCACACTTGCAGCGTAAAAGCACCTGGTCGGTAAGGTCTCTCACCTCCCACATGGCTTTCCCTGGATATCCCTGTAACTCCTGTTCTGCTTCCTAATATTGCCCCCTCGCCCCCCAGCCGAGGCCAGAAGCCCGTATGCCATTACCTTTCTTTGTCCTGCCACCTTGTGCAGCCAAACAAGTCCCCAAGTACTATTGATAGTGGTCTTCAAAACCATGTTCTCAGCCATGGCTGCAAGTGTGCATCCCTGTGCCACTCTGACACCTACACCTGGAGCCCTGCCCAGAACCCCGGACTTGGAAACTCACGAGACTTAGGTGTGCATCTTTTGGTATAGCTTCCCTGGAGTTTCTGAGGCTCACCTGGCACTGAAAACAGTGCTCTGAAATTTTCATCTCCTCTTCTAACACCTTTCCTTGCTGCTTTGGTTTAGGCTGTTAACATTTCCTATAGCTGTCAGGACCAATTACCACCAACGAGGTGGCGCAAGACAGCGGAATGGATTTCTCATGGTTCTGGAGGCCTCCAGTCTGGAACCACGGTGCTACCAAGGTTGTGCTGTTGCTGGGGGCCCCAGGGGGCGGGGTCCTTCCTTGTCTCTTCCCGCTTCTGGTGGCTGCAGGCGTTCCTTGGTTCGTGACTGTCCAATTCCAGTTTCTGCCTCTCTGTTCACATGGGCCTGTGTGCCTCATAAAGACCCTTGTTACTGGATTTAGAACCCTCCAGTAGCCTAGGATGATTTCATCTCCAGAGCTTTAACTACATCTGCAAAGACCCTTTTCCCAAAGGATCTGGGACATGGACCTATCTATTTGGGGTCCAACATTCAACCCACTACACTTCCCTATGGTTCGGCTAGTTGTCCCGTCTGATGATCTTGACTCTAATCTGGCTGTCCATCCTGCGCCGTGCTGTCTCAGCATTTACTTTATGTCCAATCATGTTAGTCCTTTGCATAAATCTTACCGGCTCCCTATTCTCTGAAAAAGCCATGCCGTCATGGAGCGCCAGGCTCTTGTTGTCACCTGGCCTCTGCCTTTTACCCTCAGGCCCGCTACTTCTCTTCCCTTGAACTTGATGCTCTCACAGTACTGAACTACCTACACTTCTTGCCTTTGTATGTACTATTGCCCTGTATTCCCATTTAGTCTGGTTCACGTTTTGAGACCATTCACACGTTGTCTCTTCCATGAAGCCCTCCCTGATGCCTCTTCCCACGAGCTTTGTGCACTAGTCCATTTTGTTGCATATAGGTCTTACCACACTTGTTCTTATGCCTTTCTCTGCTCTTAAGTGGAGAGATCTGAAGACCAGGAAGCCGATATTCATCACTGTAGCTCTAGGACTTGGCATTTTTAATATTGAATGGATGACCATGTAGCTTCACCGAATTAGAAACGTGTCTCACTGTAACACTTGTTTTTGCACCATCACCTTAATTATTTTCAGTAGGATTTTTCACCAGTCACTGTTTAGCTGTGTTGAGTGAGTAGGTAATCCATATGTAGATGGCATAGTGTTTGCTTAACCTGCAGTATCTGCTTCTATGCTCAGGTCACTTAAAACGTTTCTGCATATGTTAAGGTGGTACTAATTTTCGTGCCCCCCCCTTTATATTAGGTGGGACTTTGGAGTTGTAGGTAGCAGAAACCAACTTGAGTTAGCCGAAACTGGAGGATGTCATGAACAAGGGTCAGAGTACAACGGGGCCAATAGCAGCCCTGAGCATCTTCTTTGTCTCTGGTTGCTGGTCTCTGTTCATCTGCTTCATTCCTCACTTCTCTGCCGCTGCATCATGTGACAGGTTGGGACATCCGCACAGTTGGTGCCCTTACATCGTACAGCTCTGGCCATCCCCAGACACTGGCTGGCTTTTTCTCTGTCCCAATTTTGTGTTTTCCACTATGGCATGTCCTTGGCCAATGTGGGCCAGATGTCCACCCCCAGCCATTCAGCTACAGTGTGGTGGGGAGGGTGCTGGCCTGGCCATTTCATTCAGACATGGTGCTGGTGCTCGCCTGAGGCCATTAAGGGATGGGTTCCTGAGAAGGGCGTGTAGTCATGAGTGGATCCCTAAAAGGCATCTGACATCCTCTGGCTGCATTAGATCTTCTCAACCTGCAGTATGTCATTGAAAGATGGGGCAGGGAGCTGGGGAGACATGAGAGGCACAGGAAACCCTGCCAGATCTCTGTGGGGAAACGTTCCTCTAAACTGTTGAGAGTCCTAGCTTCAGTTGATTTACATATATTTCTCATAGAATGTTCATCTTGATTTAAGTGATTGGGAAATATATTAAAACAAAGTAGGTTTATGATGGTGGTTTACTCACAGATACTTTCATTATAGTAGCAATCACAAGTAATGTGTAAGAAAACAGTGCATGTTTTGATCTTGCCTCAGAAAGAAGAGACTTGAAATAAATCATCTCTGTATTCTAGAGACACTTTTATGTAGCTGATGTTCCTTTGTGATGGAAATGGAACAGATTAAAAACACAGCAGGAATAACTTCAAGTGATAATTTAAATCCATTGTCAAACTGTAGCTACCGAATTATAAAACAAAAAAAAACCCTCTTTGTTCTGACTTTTACTGTTCATGAGCCTGAGGGCCCCTCTGCCATACTGCCCACCATGTTTTGGGTGTGGCTTAACAGGAGGCAAAGGCAGGACTTTCAAGTTGAAAAGAACTTCTCCCAAGAAGGGAATGGAGAATAGTCCTGTCAGCGTGGCGACAGGAGACATTGGTCAGAACATACAGGGACCCATTAAATCCAGAGTTAGAAATACCATTGAAAATTAAAAAAAAAAAAAAAAAACAAATACCAAGTGCAATCCTGAATTTCTTTAAACACTGGTATTAGCTTAAGGTACTAATGTGGGAAATCAGCATAAGGACTTTGTTTGCTTTCCAGATGACTTTTTAAGTTATTGGACAGTTTGGACTAAAACTTTTTTTTTTTTTTTTTACTTCTGGGCCTCTTTATGGGCAACCTTCTTGTGAAGTCCTATTTTATGTTTAATTTTCCCAAGGTATTTTTGCTCACCTGACAGTTTAAAGGTTCAAATAGAAATGAGAATGAATGTGGAGAATTCAGAAATTTTAAGACGGTAACTAACTAAATTTGGTCTTCTTACAAATAAAGATCCTAAAGACATTAACATGATTTGGGAGTGAGAGATGAGGTTTAATTAGTATGCTATTTTCTAACTAGTTCATTTAAAAATATTTCTTGAGTGTTTCTCTGGGGTCCATTAGAACAACACTTGCTAAATTGAGCCAGCACTAATACAGCCTCTGCAGAATTCTCATTTGCTTATTTATACTGTCTCTTTCCAAAAAGATTTGAAGAATCTGACTTTATAGAATAGGAAACCTATAATTACTTTGTACATCACTCTTAAATTAAGTTTTTGGAAGTGATTTGAATTTCATTACAGCTGAAGTCGGTTTTGCAGCCCATTCCTTCTGTGGGGTGTTTAGCGGGTGATTTTTTTTTTTTTTTAATGACCATCCCTGTTTTTTTCTCTTATTCCATCTTTTTTTTTTTAACTTAAAAAGTCTACAAATAAATGAACTTTCATCCTTTTTATAGGTACAATGGTGCTCTACCTAATGGAGACCGAGGCCGGAGAAAAAGCAGATTCGCTCTCTATAAGCGGCCAAAGGCGAATGGAGTCAAACCCAGCACGGTCCATGTGATATCCACGCCACAGGCCTCCAAGGTAGGTGGCTCCTGAGAAGTTGGGAAGGCCTTGGCAGGTGGTGACTTGCGGTCACTTTTTGTCTTTGGCTGCTTTTTTTTTTTTTTTTTTTTGTTTTTTTTTTTTTTTTTTTCCCTTTCTTGGTTGGACAGTTTTTCAATCATTGAGGGTAGGTAGTTTTTCTTTGGGAAGGGCTGTCCTGTGCTTTGTATGTGGAGCCACATCCCTGGCTTTGACCCACTAGATGCCAAGAGCACATCATCCGCACCCCCAACTACCACTGCTGTTGGGACAACCAAACAGGACTCCAAACACTGCCACAGGGCCCCTGAGTGGTGGGGTGGGTAAACCCGCCCCTCCTGCCCACCTCCCCCCGCATGATGGACCACTGCTTGGGATATAGTGGAACCAACATATGTCAGTTTAGAACAGTTGTGGTTGGAAGATAAATGATGTTCTTTATCCTAAAGAGTTTTTGTATTAAGTCTTAGTAAAACCTCATTAAGATTTGTTATTTTCCTTCTATTTATTGAGTAGTAGTTTTCATATAATCTGCATGTACAGGGAATTGAATTTGGGTGATTATTAGAAAGACTGGAAGTAAACAGAGCTAAGTGCCATAAGAAGTTTACTACATCTCCTCTCATAGGTTTGAAATATGTAAAACGTTAATTTTTAGGACTACTTTATTTTCTGATCTATAAATGGGGGAAAAACCTGAGTTTCCATTCTGGTTGACATGTTCCATCTATTTAGATAGGACAGTTTTCTAATTAAATAAATTAACATGTAATATAGTTTCCTTTTCTATAAAAATTATATTCCCCTGAAATATTTCATATGGTGCATTGGCTATACATGTTTATCTTAATGGGGTTTGGACCATCTGGAATAAATAAGACTTGATTCCCATTTTTACTGAAAACCCATAGTTCAAAGGGAAATGAATAGCTTCAGGGAAGCATGCGTGGTATTTATGTTCCGTCCTAGAAACTGATGACCTTGGCTAATGTTTTTATTAAAAAAAAAAAAAGCTCCTGTTGCTGTTTCTGAAGCCGTGACATGGGAAAAGTTTGCTAGAATGTACCAATTAAGGTTGTCTTGTATTAATGAGGGAATGGTTAGATCCAAAAATACCAAACACCAAGGAAACAGTAAAGATTAATATTTAGCAGCCAAGTTTTTGGCTAGAGAAAGGGAAATAAAGTAAGTTCTAGGAAGGGAAGGACACTTGATAGGGAAAACAAAGGAAATGAGCTTTACAAAAGATTCTGAGAAAAGGGGAAGTGAAGTAACAATCTTGGAAGGTTAAGGAAGTAGGAGAAATATCTTATAGTCGAAAAATATTTGGAGGATACCAAGACAAAAGTTTTTAAGCATGTGATCCGTGCCAAAAATGTTCTGATATTACAGACCTGGTCCTCACATTTGTCCATGGGTTGGCATTCATCTTTCCTTCCTCTAGCTCTGTGCCTTTATTTTCCTTAAGCTGAGATTTGATATTGATACAATGGCTTCAGATATTTAAGAACATTTTTATAGAAATCTTTGACTACTCAGGTTTCATGTTGTGCTAGAATATGAAATACAGCTGGAATTTGAAGTAGATCTTCTGGTAGTTACTACCAGAAGATCAGTGGCTTTTCCCTTGTTTGTTACCCACCTCCATTGGCTCCAATTTTAGCTTTTTATAAAACTTTAACCTTTCATACCTAGATTTTACCTGAAGTCCTTTAAATTCTAAAACTTTTGGTCTCAATCCATGTTTATGGTCTACATTACTAGTGAGGGGAATTGGTCTTTGGTCTTGTAACCTGGGAAAAACCTATATTCTCAGGACCTCGGTTTCCTTCTCTACAAAATGAATGAGTTGGCTGTAGACAGGAGCCACGCTGAGTCAGGCAAGATACTTTGGTTATAAGCAACACGTGATTCTGTGCTTGGAAAAAAAAAATGGAGAAATTATTTAAGGTTATAGGGTAACAACAGCTCAGAGAGGAGAACCAGACGATCAGCAGGGGTTAATATGGACATTCTTGAAAGAGTGTTGTAAAATGACTTGGCTCTACCTTCTGTCTCTCTTTGAGGTTTTTAATTGTCAGGAAAGGGACTCTAGTAGGCCTGGCCGGGGTCAGTCTACTATGACCAGACACACTTACTGTGAGTGGATCAAGTAGCCCTCATTGCCTTTTCCTTCTGCGTCTTACTCCTCCTGGTGCCTTGTACATCGAGGGCCTCCTGCACAGGACTCCACCCTACCTGAGCCTAGCACCTCGGTCACAAATCCCTCACTCCTTCTGTTCCCGCTCCTGGTCAGCTGTGTCCTTCCCCTCCTGCTCTAACTGCTGTGTTGACCCCTAGACAAAGTCTCTTAGATACTTAACCTTTCCTTCAAATGTTTCTCCTCCTGCCTCACCTGAACTGAATGCTGATTTTTCCCCCCACCGATGCAGTCTTTTTCCTCTTTTCTTGCCCCCCCCCATCTTTCCAGTTTATGGAACCAGAATGATTTCATTCTGCTTCCGTTTCAGTCTGTTCTTTAACCCTGCATTATTGATGTAAGCTGCCTCTCCCCCTGCGTCTCTTGACCCCACTGACCTGCACTCCACTCTTGTGCATATTTCAGTGATTGTGTACCTACCTCATGGCATCTGTTTCCCCTAGCCCGTGTTAAACCATACATTGGCATCTGTGGGTTATAATACTTTACCTCTTCCAATTTGACTGTCCCTTCACTTTTCCCACTTATATAGTGTACCTTAGAGTCCATACTCTCCAGTACATTCTACTTGTATATACATAGCTTTCTTATCTAATCTTAAGACCTCTAGCCCTTCAGCCTGTCCTCGGCTCGTTGTTAGTCCACTTGGGTTTTCCAGTTATGTGCTGACTTCACCCTGGATTCCTTTTCTCTGGTGCCACTTGGCACCCCTCTTGGTGAGTCCCTGTCTCCGGGCTCATCCCAGGCCCTGCTGGCCTGTTTTTACTTCTTTCTTGCTCACCCCATTTCCTGTCAGAATGCCAGGGTATGTGGTGTACTTGGCAAAAGCTACTGGACCTGAATCAGCAGTGGTTTGTCTGCCCTGAAATTTCTGATTCTGCAATATGGGTAATGAAAGGGTCCTCTTTGATTTGGACTTGTAAACGGGAGACCTAGAAGGGCAGGTGTGGTTACCATTGTTAGAAGGACAAGTGCTGATATTCTATGTTGTTTCTTCCCTCTGCTGCACAACCTGGGGCACACCAAGGTGTACTCCCTTGTGGATAGTAGTGGCTGCTGGAAAATGGGGCCTCTGAGTCTTCCGTGCATGCCACTGTCCACACAAAGTCCGAGGAGGACAGCAAGGACGTGCTACTGTTGTGTAATCTCGGATTTGTATACTCACTCCTCGTGTGCGTATTTGCTCTTGAGATAGTAGTACTCAGATATTTCACTTAGTTCATAATTGTTTAAAGAAAACCTAAAGTAAAACCTTGTTTTACTTTTGGCAGTTCTGTTACATAGACATAGGGCATTTAGCAATTTATTCACCATTCATTTATTCAACAAATATTTATCTAGCACTTTTCTGTGGCCAAGCGTCATGCTAGGGATTGGATCTACTGCAGCATGCAGACCTTGTCTGCATGGAGTGAATTGTCTAGCGGGGAGGCAGACAGTAAATTCTCATGTGAATACATGCTTAACTGCACGTTGTGAGAAGTGCAGGGCAGGAAAAGACGATGGAGCTGTGAGAACAGGGGTGCAGCGGGGGAGCTTGGATGGGGTAGACAAGGCAGGACCTCTGAGGGCACGTGAGTTTCGAGGTGAGGGGTCAGGAGGAGTTAGCCAGGCGAGCAGAGTGATCTGGAACAGAGATTCAGGTGTTGTTTTTTTCTAAAAGGAAACATTGAAGGGTGTTAAGTGGAAGACGTGGCATAATCAGACTGAGAATCTAAGTCCTTTTTTGTTTGGTCATTTCCATTTAAGGCTGTGGGGCAACTGTTGTGCTCCTTACCAGTAAATAGGATGGTGGTGGTGATGGTGACTGTTTTGGTAGCAACATGGTTTAAATTTAGCGACATCACTGCGGGGAAAACTCTTCATCATGGTTTTCCCTTGTAGGCTGTGCTTTATTGAAATCTCCTTTTTTGGGCATTTTTACTTTTTAAAAGTGAGAGGCTATCCCTTTGTTCCAGTTGGCATATTTCAGAATGGAAAATATCCGTGGTCTTGGAGTGACAGTTTAAAAAGAAGTCAGAACCATTTAATGTGATCGTTGCCACCAGGACCACTCTTGAGCTGTTGGTGCTGCAATGGCTCTCCTGGTTGATACTGACACTCTTCTTTATCAATGAATAATACAGTAGTAATTGAGATGGGGTAATATAAACTTCAACATAAACTCATTAGTTCAAGCTAATTTTGTAGGCTGTAGTGGCATCTGCTTTTGAAGTATTGTCTGTCCAGCAGTGGGTGGTCTGTCTGCTGCACAGCTATTCTGAAGCTGCAGCCTTCGGTGCTTTAGGAAACTCCTGTTTATCATTATTCTCAGACTGTTTAATGCAGCTTTTAAGTAGTTTTTTTGTTGTTGTTGTTATTGTTTTACTTTGTTTTCTTTCATTGTTAACGGAATGTAATTCTTGGGTTAGTGGTATCTGGTGTTCTGATGTTTATAAGTTACAGAAATTCATTTTATTATAAAGGGGCAACAAAGTTTGGATAAGTCTTGTCCTTGTAGACACCATAAACATGAATATTCTGAATCTGGCAGAAAAAAAATTAGTAATAAACTGCAGCCCGCAATATCTTTGGGTCCTATACAGGAATACCAACCTAAGACAATTTGTATTTATAGAATGGAATCCATCTTAATGATTTTAACAAAATATAAACCCAAACAACCTAAACTTATGCCTCGAGGAACTAGAAATGGAACAACAAAATAAGCCCAAAGTTGGGAGAAGGGAGGAAATACCAAAAGATCAGAGCAGGAACAAATGGAGAGGGAAAAAAAGCCAATAGAAAAGATCAACGAAAC